AGGCCCCGAAGGTCTGCCTAGGAGCTGGGACTCAGGGACAGAAGGCCCCGAAGGTCTGCCTAGGAGCTGGGACTCAGGGACAGAAGACCCCGAAGGTCTGCCTAGGAGCTGGGACTCGGGGACAGAAGGCCCCGAAGGTCTTCGAGGAGGCTGTGGAGAGGGCAGCAGTAGACCCTCCCCGCAGGGTCATAGTGTCTCAGGGCTTGGTGCTCAGGGAGTGGGCGCTAAAGGAGAATCTTACTCTTTGTATGTGGGGTCAGCCTGGCCCAGGCGGGGGCTGGCCCTCTCGTCTTTGAGCAGTATCAGGGGGGTGGTTGGTCCCAAGCAGACACCGTGTGGGAGCAGTGGCGACGGCCCCACAGCGGCAGGTGGGAAGGGTGCTCAGTCTTCTGAGACTGCTGGGGCTCCTGTCCTGAGGCTTCTTTCTGCCAGCTCCATGTTCTGGGGAAGCTGAGGTGGGGACAGAGAGAGGCTTAAGTACCTGAAGAGCCAGAGGTGTGGAAGAGCAGGCATGGCCTGGATCCCTGGGTAGGGTGAGCCATGTGGACAGAGCTGCCATTATGGAAGTGGGGAGGGACACCTGTCTCTCTGGCCTCTCGACTTTCCTGCCTAAGGATAGGCCTACTGCAGGCAGGTGGCTTTGATGTGGCCTTTTAGGGCAGGACACCAGTCACAGGAGTAAGCGACAGCCTTTGTCAGCTCCTGCCCTAGGGGTTCTTGGAACTCTGCTCTGCGTGAACAGTAGGGAACTGTCTTTTGGTGTAGCTCTGTGTGTGACATGCCAGCCAGGGGTCTGTGATGTTCGTGCATGCCTGTGGGCCACTGCGAGGCTCCTGTTGATGGACGAGCTGTGGCAGGTCTGGGAGTGCTTGGTCTCCCTAGAGCTGACTGGGTTTGCCCAGATAGGTTTTTTTGGGCTAGTAAGGGGAAGGGTAGAGGCTAGGCTAGACCTGGGGAGGACTCAGGACTAGTTCTCGGTGGCTGGGCTGTGAAGCCTTGGACCTTGAGAGCATGGAAAAGGGCGAAGATTGGGACCTGCCATGGGCATACCTAGTGGTGCTTAAGATTCTGCTAGAACCCATGACCTTCATTACAGGAGTGTCCCATGTGAGGTGTGACAAGGCAGCCTTGGTGGCACAGTGCCCTGTGGTACCTGCTTGCAGCAGTGCTTATCTGTGCTCCAGATGATGACTAGAGAGGTGGATGAGCTCCTGGGTGTCTGGAGGTAGAAAAGGTGGGCAGTGTGTAGACAGGCAGACCTGGTCCTACCCAGTGCTTCTGCACTCCAGGTGACGCCCCTCTGGTGGTTTGTAGGGCAGAGCCTATCTGCCTGGTTATTCGGGGCTCCCGGGAGGGATGGCGGGCTCTGGCCCTCAGGGACTTTGAGCTGCACTTTGCCAGCAGCAGGCAATTGGAAGAGCTGGAGCTAGTGGCCTCTCTAGAGAGGGGCCCAGGGAGCAGTTAGGGCAGGGGTGTCAGAAAAGACCCCAGTGACAGCATTGCCAATGTGGCCCTGAAGGAGCCAGCTCCCTGTTGGGGACATGAGCCACAGCAGAGAGCAGAATGGCCTTGCACTCAGCAGTCTGGAGCACCCTAGCGGTAGTAGGCAGGAGGGTGAGCCTGATTCAGCCAGCTCCCTGATGCTCGCCCTTGTTGGCTGCTTTCCTCCTAGGTTGAGACAGTGTGTGGCGAAGACCTGGCAGATGCTGAGCTCACTTCCTGTCTGCACGTTTCCTTTTCCTGCAGGCCTCTGGCTGTACCTGGCAGGGAGCAGCCTGCCCTGCCTCACGCTGATTGGCTCTCCTAATTTTGGGTACAGGTCAGTTCACCGGGACCTAGAAGCCCAGATTGCCATCGTGACGGAGAGCCGAGCCCTACAGCAGCAGCTCCATCAGGTTTGTTGAAGTGGTGGGGTTCTTGGGTACATGGGGTGCAGCTGGTGTCATGTCATTGTTGACCTCACAGGCATCTTCTGCCTTTGTCAGTTTAGACAGTGAGGAGAGAGGAGAGAGAGACAGAGACACAGACAGACAGACACACCCTGGGTCCCTCGAGTCTAAGAGGAACCTTAGAAGGCCAGGCAGGATAGGCTTGTACCCCACCCCAGGCCTTTCCCTCTTTCCATGCTGGAAGAGACCACCATCTCCTCACTGGGACATGGGTATTGTAGAATGGGGTCCAGCCTTTTCTAAAAGCAGGGGTGAATCTCATGGGTTGGCCATGGCTTTGGCTCTCCCTGTGCAGCAGACAACAGAAAGCTCAGAATTCATGCATGCTCTCCTGTGAATTCTCCTGCAGTAGGCTCTGACTTCAGAGCCCTGTGTCTTGGAAGCTTGTGGCCTTTGCAGGAACCCCTGTGTGGGTTGGATCAGATTTCCATTGGGGTCTTGGGATGCAGGACCCTTGCTCCCAGCCAGACCTCAGGAACAGCACCCACTGGCTTTTATTTTGATGATTTTTTAACTGTATATTATTGTATGTGTGTGGGATGTGTGTGAGTGTGATGCACATGTGCCATGATACCCGTGTGAAGGTTAGAGGTCAATTTATTGAAGTGAGTTTTCCTGCTGTTGGTTTCAAGATTGAACTCAGGTCTCAGGCTTGTGGGGCCACCTCCTTATGTGCTGAGCCATCCTGACTTTTAGACGCCAGTGTTGGGGAGTCACTGCTACAGAACTCTCAAAGCCCTTGCTGATGGGGGAGGAAGTGGCCATGGCTTTGTTCTTTGGACTTGCTCCTGTGTCTGGGAATCTTGTCACTGAGAGCCAGGTGCCAGTAAGGGCTTTGTGACTGGGCAAGAGGAAGTGACAACAGCCATGCCCTGTGGCCAGTGGGGTGACGGGTGTGCTAGCTGATTTCCTTCTGAAGAAAGGCTTATAGCAAATGACTGAGGAAGCTCTCAAGCTGAGGACTTCCCATAACAGGGCAACTGCTGGCCTTGGAGCCGCACTGTGGAGAAGAGGAGTCTGGCTCTGGACCGTGGGGTCTCCTGACTGTTGTCACTGGTGCAGAGCGAGCTGTGCACGGATGCCTCCACCCAGGCGAGGACGAGGTCTGGGAGAGTTCAGGGGGCAAGTGCCTAGGCCTGTGCTCTGCTCTCTAGTGCTGACAAGACCCCACCTCCTGATGTGGATGGGGAGCTAAACCCACATCCTGGATCTTGAGAAAGGCCTGGCTGGTTGTGGTCTGAGCTGATTTCTCAAATGACATACTTGGGATATTTTCTTCCCAAACCTGCCTCCCAGGGGCTTTTGATGGTGGGAAGGTGGCAGAACATGCGTATTGATTCAGGTCTGTGAAGTGTAGAAATGTATTTCTAGATGGTTCCATTTGCTTCGGTATGCTTTAAGGCCTGCAGCTGGCCTCCCGACCCTTCAGTGTCTGATTGCCCCATGTGGTGCTGCACATGCCCAGCCCCCAGCTTCTAGTGCTGCAGTCTGTGGTCCCTGCACTCAGAAGGCCTGCTGGAGTTCTCCTGGGACCCAGGGAAGGGCCCTGTCTTGAGAATGGAAGATATTTTTATCAGAACTCTGAGTCCCTCCCTCAACAATAAAAACTGAAAGCTTCCTGGTTTTGTTCAGAGAACACAGCTTTCCACTTGTGACCTAAGAAAGACTCCTTGCACAGTGCAGTGACCTCTGCCAGCTGACTTCCTTCTCCATCCCTGTTGTGGCGTCTGTGAGGACACTGGAGCACTTCTGGTAATTTAATTGAGATCTTGGGTGTTTACTAAAGAGCAGACCTGGAGCTGGGTCTGTGGAGACTTCTGCAAGGCCGTCCTCCTCCCCTAGACCAGAGCTGGCTCCTCTGCAGGCCCAGCCCATAGAACCTTAGGCTGATGTTCATGACATGGAACTATCATGATGGGAAAGCCAGCTGTGGGGACACAGTGTGAAAGTTTGGTGTGGACAATCGGGGTGCAGACCTCGGGGTGCTGCCTTTGTGATGAAGGTCACAAGTGTGGGGTGTGCAGGAGAGGTGAAGGCAGGCCCCAGGTCTCCACCTCTGCGTGGGCAAAGCCTTAGACACTTGGGCAGGGTTTTGGCTGAGGCATCTTCTCCTTCTCTGTTGGTTGGAGGAACTGCTGAGGAGTATGTTCCTTCCTGTGGATGACATTGGCCCTGCAGGCACTGTCAGTCAGGGCTCCTGTGTTGACCCTCAGTGTGGGTGCAGATATGGCGCCAGCTGCTCAGGGACATGAGGCAGAAGAGGACAGCATTTGTAGGCGACCCACAACCTAATATGATTGATGGCACCCCTTCTGTGTATTTGTGCACATGCGTATGTGTGCACATGCATAATGTGAAGGTCAGAGCACAACTTGAAGGAGTCCGCTCTCTCCTACTACATAGGTAGTCAGCGTGGTGGCAGTGCCTTTACCAGCAGCTGTCTGTCAGTCCGCATGTGTGTTTTAGAACTTGGTTTGAGGTGAAAGCTTATAAACCTGGTTTGCAACAAAAGACGCTGTCTTCATCTGACTCATTTGGATCATTCTGTCTTTGATCTGGGAGCCTGTGGGGAGGCCTGACTCTCAGCCTTCCTTCCCTGTATGTACCAAGTCCAAGGAGCCAACCACTGTGGTGGGAATACGTAGGGAGAATTGCCCTCCTACCTGGACATGCTCAGACTTTGTCTTGTGTTCCTGAAGAGTGAAATGTAACATCATACACGGCATTAATATATTACATCTTATATTTACAACTGTATTAGATGCTTTAAAGAACCCTGAGTTGAGACAGGCCTGGAGATCAGGCTCTGGGCCCAGTTGCCAGCACTGTAAGAAAAGATAAAAGCAGATCTACATGAGGATGTACACACCACCATTTGACTGAGGGACTTGAGAATCTGCAGGTTTTGGTTCTGTAGTGGTTGTGGATTCTGAGGGACCAGGTGTGTGCTGTATATCTCGTGTCTAGTTTTCTGTCACTTTCCTCTGTGACGTTAGTCTGACATCGCTTTGTCATCTGGGTTAATTCACAAGCGAATGCTGGATGTTTAGGTGGTTTCCAGCCTTTCCCCGCTGTGCATGCGTCTCTAGATCTTAGTGTGCGGTGGAATGCAGAGGTGCTGTCTGGGATAAGCTCGGTGGGTGTCACTCCAGCAGCAGCACTGGCCGGTGCTGACAGCACAGTGTAACCTGCGGGTTGTTTAAGAGACACCAATCTCTGTGTTGGGGATGGAACTCAGGGTCTGTGTCCATGCTGGACTGATACTACCTCTAATGGGAATCCGCCCAGACCAGTTTATTACTTTAACTTATACTAATCTATTTTGTGAGGGGTAAACATCTAAAATAGTTTTCCCATCAGCTCCAAGTCTTCAGCTAAATCCACAGTGTGTAGTGATGGAGCCCCTTGGCCGAAGTCCTCGGGAAGCGGTGTGGTGGCATCTCTGACCCGCCTCGTGGGCGTCACTGTTGCACCAGGTGGTGCTCTGAGGAGTCGCAGGCTGACCCCACACCTATGCCTGACTGCCCCTCTCTTCCTTAGGAACAAGAGCAGCTCTACGTGCGATCGGGCGTGGTCTCCTCTGCCACCTTTGATCAGCCAGACCGGCAGGTGAAGCTGTGGGTGAAGATGGTGACTCCGCTGATCAAGAACTTCTTCTGAGAACAGGCAGGTGCTGGGAACTCAGCAGGCCAGTGTGGCCAAGGCTGGAGCTCTTGAGGGGACCCTGTGGCCTCGGCTCTCCCTGCTTCCTTCGTTTGCCACAGAGCAGTGTTGACGGCCGTGGACAGTGGTTTTAAAGCAGATGCTGGCTTGGCTGTTTCTCCCTCCCCTTAGGTGCCGCTGCCGCTGCCTTGGCTAGGGCCACCTGGGGTAGGCCAGCAGCCTCTGTTCCCTTCTGCTGCTCCTGCCCAGGGCTCCAGAGAGGCCTTGGGGCAAGGGGCAGAGGGGGTTCTTTCCTTCCCTGTTCTCTGCTGAGCGTGGCCCTGCAGCAGACAGTGCCCAGTGGGGGAGGAGCTGTTCTGGAGTGCGCTGGGGTGGGAGGGGACACGGTGACATGACAGCCTGTCCCCTGACACGAAGCAGGTTAGTGGGATATCTGAGAGGCAGCCGTGATGTTCTTGTTGGCCATGGGATAGACTCTGCCTGCCCAGGAGCCTGAGCACTGGGAGAATGTGGTGCGTCTGTCTGGTGAACATGGTGGCCTTTCTTGAGCTCCCGTGCCGTGCAGACAGACCTCTACAGAGTTGACCACTGTGACCCACGGGGTCTCTGGATCTTCTGTTCTCCTGCTCCTTCTTTGTCACACCTTCATTTTCACTTTATTTGAGACAAAGTCTCACTAGCCCTGGCTGGCTTGGAACTCACAGAGATCCGCCAGCCTCTGCCTCGAGTGCTAGGGTTAAAGGCAGGTGCCGCCACACCTGCTCAGGTCTCCAGCATAATAAAAAATGTGCCTGTTCATATCTGGTATGGCTCCTCATAGCAGGTCCAAGTGCACATGCCCTGTGCATTTGTGTTAGCCTGCTCCCCTCCCAACTCCTCCCCAGCGTCTCTGGGAGGCAGCCTGGACACTTCATTTGCTGCCGCCACGCCAGTCCAGCTGTGGGCAGAGAACAGCCTTTGGATCCAGGCCCAGCAGCCCATAGAGGAGCCCCTCAGCAGTGATGGCTGCCTCTCGAGATCTAATGGCTGTGGCTGACTGGCTGTCCTAGGTCGGGCTCCAGAAGCAGAAACACCTAGCCTTCCACAGGACTGTTGCTTTTCGTTGCTAATAAGACAGAGCGGTGCTGCCCTGGGCGACAGCTGACTGACACAAGTCACAGAAACCATCGGGAGAGGCTGGCTTACACAGCACTTGCATTCCCACATCTTCTGCTGGCAGTGTGCGGCATGGGGCTGAGCACCCTCCTCTGCCCTGCTCAGGCCTTTAGGAAATCCTAGTTAGGTTCTCCCTCTGCAGATCTAGGCTCCCTAATTCTGACGCCAGGACTTTGTTCCAGATCCCTCAGGGAACTTGGCCTTTGGGAGGTATGGAGACAGTTTGTACATGTGGAGAATTACTGTTTTATTTCAGGCTCCAGAGGCAAAATTGGAAAAACCCATTTGTGGTTAGGACCAGGGATTGGAACAGGTTGCCTGGACTCCTGCTGCCTGTGCCATCCTGTGGGGCTGCAGTGACCCCTTCTGGCCAGCAGAAGCAGTTGCCCAGTGACTAGGCCTGGCCTGAAGCTCCTCTGTCCCCATTTGGGGCTCAGGCATCAGGGCAGTGTTCACAGAAGGTCAGACAAGCTGGGGTGGGCAGTTCCTGCGAGGTCTGAGTTTCTTTGCAGCTTTGAAGCCTTGGAAACCCTGAGCAGTGCCTCGCTCCCCAGGGAGCCCCTTGGCTGGAGTTACAGGCTTGGCTGGCTGTTTCCCGTCACCCTCTTGTCTAGCTTCATCACCCTGCCACCTGCTTGTGGTCTGACCACTGGGCTGCATGTCCAGCATCAGCACTACCAGTCTCTGAGGCCGAGGCTTCGTTTTTTCTGCTAACGGTGCTGATGCAGACAGACTCCCAACCAGCCAGTCAGAGGGGCCTCAGCCAGTGTCACCTCTGCCCACCATCACCTGGGGCAGGGCTTACTGTACGAATGGGCCTGCTGGCTGTTTGGTTAACAAGGGGGGGGGGTATTAGGTGAAATAAAACCATTGAGTAGCCCACATAGCCACCACACAGTTAGCGGAGCAGTCCCAGGGCCGTGTGCACACTCACCTGCAAGAAGTGTGGACTGAGGGTGAGGGGGGCAGAATAGACAAAAACCGTGGGGTGTGTGGGGGTGCTACCCTGGACGGCTGCTCCTGCTCTCACTGTGTCCTGTGTGGTCCCTTCAGTGGGGAAGGACGGGTGCCATGGCACCTGTGTCACGGTTTGCATGTTGTGCTGGGACAGCTTAGGGAAGAAGACGTTGTTGAGATGATTACTTCAGGCGCTCCCTTTCTTGAGAGCTTGGTGCGGAGGGCGCACCTGTCCCGGCTGTGGGGCTTTGTGTGCGGTATCCGGCCGCACCCCAACCCCAGCTGCTCCTGCCGAGATAAGCTCACTCCTCCCGGAAGTCAGGATTCAGGGTCTGGTTCCCAGGGTGTTTTCTCTGAGCTGCTGGGAATCAGGCTTCACTGCTGGGCCAGGCCCTGGGTGACATCAGGCACTGAGTACAGTCACACTGGTACCGTGATTGCAATTGTTTTAATCTGTGCTCCCACCCACCTCTGCCCTCTGCATGGTCCAGGTGCACTGGAGTTGGTAAGAAGTCAGGAAAATTGCTGTCGGTTCCTGTAAAGTGACAGTTGGGAGGCTGGGTTTCCGATTGGAACCCCAGGGTTGGGCTGCAGGAGCAACTAACTACACCTGCAGGAGCAGGGCCACTGCTGCCAGGATCCACTTGGCCGCCTTCTCTTTGGTCTTCAGGTTAAAGGTCCAGACATAGGTGGGCCCTCGGATGCGCGTCTTGTACACGGGGCACTCATAGATGTTCTTGGTCTCCATTCGGTCCACAGGAATGGCCTTGATGAAGATGACAGGCATGACTGGTGTGAGGTCCTTCAGCCGTGCTTCAGCAATGACGCCGGTCTGGGTGTCCCAGCGAGCTCCTGTGGGGACAATGGAGCTGACGGTCTGGGTATGGTACGGGAGGCTGAGCCCCCTGGCTGGAGTGCTGACGGTGAATGAGGGAGGCACCAGCAGAGAGAGGCCAGTGAAGTGGGAGCCCTGAAGAGTTCAGGCCAGGTGCCAGGGGCTGACAGTGCCAAACACGGGGTGTGAACTGAGGACTTGGAGGCGACTCTGCATGCTGTAACGGCTCTGAGGCCGCATCTCCTCAGAGCCTCATCTCAGCCTTCTGAACGTCGTCAGCAGCAGCAGACTGACTACAGCTGAAGAGTCCAGCACCATCCCTTCCTGATCCACCTGTGTAATGAATGTCTACCCGCTGTACATAGGGAATAAGTTATATATATATATACATACATATGCCTATATAAACACTATCTGCCCTTAGCCAGACTGCTGTCGTCTCTCGTCCTGTCCAGTTGTGTTCGTGTGTCCTGTGTGGCATTCCACAGTAAACATGGAGAATGGGTGTGTGAGCCTCAGCTGGCCTGCTCCTGACACAGCACAGGTGGATTGGCTGGAGTGGGTCTGAGGACACAGCTTTCTTGCCTGGCTTACAAGTGGATTCTAATGCCACCTCTACCTGTCTGCCCTCCTGCTCTCCTGGCTTGGTGGGCAGCCTGGCCTTCCTCCTTGAAGCCTTTGCTTGGGGAGCCTCAGGAGTGCTGGCTGAGGGTCAGCCCATGTGCCCTGGAGCCCCTGACTCAACAAAGCTCCTGCTTCAGTTTGGAGGCTGCATTCCTCATCACGTCTAAACTGTTTCAACTGCCCGCATACAAATGCTCCTGTCTCGGGTAGAGCCCAAGCTGCCTGGGATGAGGTTTGTCTTTTGAGATGGGATCTTCCTACGGCCTGTGGAATCCCAGCAGTCCTCTCGCCTCGGCCTCGCAGGTGCTGGAACTGTAGGCATGCATACTGTGTTCAGCTCTGAATGGGTCTCTGTGCCGGGCCTCTACCCGTCAGTCCCCTCTAGAGCTCAGGGTGGCTCCAAACCCACCCCTACCCCAGGCTTGCCCAGCCTATCCATCCACAGCTGAGTGGGAGTGGCTCTAGAAGCTTCCTGGACAGACTGTTACCTTCCATGAAGAGCCCATACACGTAGGAGCCCTCTCGGGGAGGAGCAGTCATGTCCTCACGGTTTTTCTTCGTCACCTCCACAGACAGACACATCTTGTCCAGGGGCCACTCATTTTTCCTGGCCATGGACTGCATGATGGCGGTGAGAAATGACTGTGGGTTGAAGAACCCAGCCAGCCACACAGTGGTGGGCAGGGCGAAGTCCGTTGTCCAGGATTCAAGCTCCTGGAAGGAAATGAGTTGTTGTGGGCACAGACTAGGGAAGGGGAGGGGTCTCGGCTGAGACTGGCTTCACCTGAGAAGCCTGCGGCCTTCCGGCCTTCCGTGAGGGGACGGTGAGGGGACCGCGAGGGGACAGTGAGGGAACGGCTGGATGCTGGACCCAGAAGCAGCTTTTGCGCTTGCCTTTGCCCTCCCTCAGGGGCTCTCCTGAGCTTTCTGCACTCTCTTCTGCTGTTTCTCCTTGGGAAGTCACGCTGTGTGCGTGCGTGCGTGCGTGCGTGCGTGCGTGCGTGCGTGCGTGCGTGCGTGTGCGCGCAGTCAGATGTGGCCAGGCCTTCCCACCTGCTTTGGCACTGGTGGCTGCTGGGGACTCCGAGGCCACGGCGCATAGGTTCCTGGAGGCTCCAGGGTCCTGTGACTTACCCTGATACGTTGCAGCAGGTCGGCATACCAAGCCGCCAAGCCCATCATGGAGGGGTAGGCCCGGGCCACCCATGTTTCAGGCACGGTGTCGTAGAACAGAGCTGTGGACAGGTCCTCCATGTCTGTTGTGATGGTCAGCTCACCCTAAGGGACATGGTCAGGTTTTGGAGGATGGATGTGGTCAGGATGGGGGAGAGTCCTCTCTATATTCCTGAGTTGCCAGCATGGATGGCTCTCTGTGGCACCTCCAGAGATCATGGCCAGGCAATAGCCAATCTTGGGGGCCTGTGTTGGAGGGCGCAGGATTCCAGACCAGGGAAGGAACGGGTTAGACGAGGGTCAGAGGGTCACACACCAGTCTCCAGGAGCCAGGCTGGAGGCCGGAGGTGTACTGTTCGGCTGTCTCTGCAGACTAGCCAGCTTCACAAGCTCCCTACCCGTGTCCTGGATGACCCAGGGTTTTTACCTTCAGCCCCAGGTTCAGCTCCTTCAGTGAGCGTCTCATCTCATTGGTGAGGATGTTCATTCTTTCACATTCTTGAAAGGCAACAACCACATAGGGGGTCTTTTCAGCAGCTTTTGCCATGATCTCAGCCATGTTGAAGGTCTCTGGAATTTTCTCAAGGATGTCATCCAGAACAGCCTTCACCTAGAAGCCAATGCCAGGCAAACTCCTGTTACTGTGGTAGTCACCAATGGAGACCACACCCCCAGCAGTGTCAGGGGGCGGGGCCTGCTCAAACCTGAGGGGGTGGGGTCGTGGGGAGCAGCCACATTTACCAGGGCTGTGAGTGGATCAGGCCTGGTGGCCTAGTGACTCCAGGCACACATGCTCCAGCTTCCTCACCATGTCAGGTGCCCGAGCGGGCACAGAACTCATCGGCCTTCTGTGGAACTGTACCATCAGCTCCACACTCAAAAACACACAGTGGGAATGATGGTCGTCCACCACCACCCATCAGTAGACTGTCATCTCAGTCCAACCTGGAACACCACGCCACCCAGTCTGGCCCTAACTTGAGATCCTCCTGCCTCACGTCCTCTGGAACGCTGGGATTACAGGTGTGTGCTCTACATCTGGCTCAACAGTAGATTTCTGGTTTCAGTTGCTAGGTCACTAATTCCAGACCCTGGATAGCAAGCAGGCCTTTGGACTACAGTTTTGGCCTGCTTACTGTTTCTCCCTAAGCTTAGCTGAGGTGTGACAGATCTTTCCCAGGAGGTAAGAGAAAGCGAGGAAGGTGCTGGAGCCTCGGTGCCCAGGCAAGCCGGGCGAAGGAGTCTACACAGTGCTGTCATGCCGTCTTCTGACTGCCTGTGCCAGGCTGTCCTCGGAGCTCCTTGTCCTAGGGGAACCACTTTGCTGCATCCCACGCTCTGTGCCCAAAATACGAGGCCAGTGATGTCTGTAACCAGTTATAGACCACACCCCGACCCCAGAATTTGTAGTTCCCAAGGCTGAGAGCACCCAACTCAGCAAGCTGCCCAGGCACTGGCCTAGCAGGACTGCACTGGGCCTACCACCGCTCTAGGCCCTGCTTGTCCCTGTTGCCGGGGACATGGACGGGTCCTACCTTTTCCTCACGTGACACCCCTGTGCCTGCTCCCGAGTCTGTCTCTTTGGGTTGCATTTCCAGGACCGTGCGGAACAGCTTCTCTGAAGTGACTGTCAGGAAGCCAATCTCTGCATTGGGGTGCAGGCCGTATAGGTAAGGACTCTCGGGGGGCAGGTTCTCATCGATGTACTCATGGTAGCCCTGGAAAAGAGTGGTTAATTATGCTCTTGGGGTCCACTGTCTTCTAGGCATTTCTCTTTTTTCTTGAGACGGGTTCCCTGTGTAACTAACTCTGCCTCTCTGGAATTCACTACGTAGATTAGGCTGTCTTCAAACTCACAGAGATCCGTCTACTTCTGCCCCCCCCCCCCAAGTGCTAAGAATTAAGGCATGCGCCACCACTACCTGGCTACTTTAATGGCACCTCCCACGTGGTCTATCCTAGTGCAATCCTGCTGATCACCTCCCTCCTTCCCCAGACATGATGGCATTTCCACCTGCTTCCTTGGGGCCACACGGGCTGCTCCTCATTTTGGGTACTTGGATTCTTGCTCAGTTACTGATGGGCTATTTTTGTTGTTTTTGAGACAGGGTCTCCTGTAGCCCAGGATGGCCTCAAACTCACTACCTTGAACTCCTAGGACCAGCCCTCCCCCGTGCTAGGATTACACTTGTGGGCCAGCATGGCAGGTTTGTTTGGTGCTGGGAGATGGAACCCAGGGCTCCGTGCATGCTGAGCAAGCACTCTGTCACCCCTACACCCTGACATCTACACCCCTAGCGCCTGACAGGTCTTGTGGGGTGTGGGCCCCTCAGGGAGTAGTCAGGACGGATTGGTCTTTGCTGGCCTGGTCACATAGCGAGTCCCCAGGCAGGACTCTCCCTACCTTGTAGTCCAGGTTGGGGGGGATCTGAAACCCGGGTGCCAGCAGCACCTCGCCTTCCAGCATCTCCACACGGATGTACTCTGCCAGGTAGGTCCTGCACAGTCTGCGGTCCCAGTCATCAGTGATGTGGCCTCCATACATGATCTCACCAAAAAGGTAGCGGAGATCATCCCAGGGCACCTTAGAAAGGGGGGGGGGACATGAGTGCCCCACCCTCATCCTTTGTCATTCACGTTAGTGAGGCTGGATGGCTCAGCAGGGCCTGCTCCCAGGCTGCTTTCCTTCAGGGTCACCTGTGACCACCTAGTTGCCAAGCGGCACCTTTTCCCATTCCTGCACCTCAGTGTCTGAGTCTCAGGCTAGCCCCTCTGGGACTCTGCTTTGGCTATGGTTTCAGGCTGGCTTCAGGCTCATTTTCTCCTTCATAGGGACATCTTGAAGGCTCCTCTGCTGGTGCCCCAGGTGTCATGGGTCACCCACTCCTTCCTGGTTCCATGGGCTCTGCCTCAACCGTCAGTCTGAATTTCAGACAGCAGTTGGATTCTGCTCATGAGAGTTGGTGCCAGCCCCCACATCTTCTGTTGGCTAAAAGTCCAGTCAATTGCGTGTCTAATGTGAACCAGTGGGTCTTCTGACCCATCTTGAACAGCTGTGGCCTCTGCTTATTCAGTAACACTCTACCAGTAACTGTCCCTCATGGAGCTGTGTAGTGCAGACGGATTTCTAAAATAGTCTTATTAAATAATAAACACAGAGTCAAATATAGGACCTTAGAGATCAGGGAAATAGGGGAAGCCACCAGCCAACCTTACCTCACCAACTCTGCAGCTTCCAAATGCGTGTTACCCACGCCTTTATCGCCTTGCTGTTCTGCCCTCTCATTGGCTATCTTAGCCCAGCTACCTCACTTCCTCTTCCTACACAGCTCTTTCAGTGCGGGTCTCTGCGGGAGCTGGGTGCTCAGCAAGCCCAGCCAGATCCTTGGTTCCCCAGGCTTCTAGAAAAGACGTGTGCACCCACAGCCTGGCGCTGGCTCTCCCGTTGGGTCAGGCGGACTGTCCACCCTGTGTCTTCTTGGTTCCCTTCAGCCTACCTTCTGCCCAGTCCACGCCCCTCGCCCTAGGATCACTGGCCAAGATATGCATGGTCTTTCAAAGCCTGGTTCACATGTCCCCTTATCTGCAAAGCCAGGCCTTTCGGCCTGTGGCCTGTTCTGCTGCCC